GGAGAACGGGCCGTTCTCCTTGCAGAACGGGCCATTCTGCTTGGAGAACAGGCCGTTCCAGTTTCGAACCCAACTAGATCTACGAGAAATCATGCAAAAATGAAAAGAGACATGAGAACATCAAATTGAAAACGAAAGAGACAACGAAATTTACCTTATTGGAGACTTTAGGAAATGAGAGCTTCAGGAAAAAATTGAAGATAATGGGAATATAAAAGATTTTCGACGATACTTTTAAAATCGGTTATTCCAGAACCGATTTTGTATATTACATACAAAATCGGTTTTGAAATAACTGATTTTAAAAGTAGTACTTTTAAAATCGGTTACAAAAGAACCATCTTAAAAGTGCTTTTAAAATCGGTTATTTTGTAACCGATCTTAAAAGTACCACTTTTAAGATCGGTTCTTTTATAACCGATCTTAAAAGTACTTTTAAGATCGGTTAAATTTCAACCGATCTTAAAAGTGTTCATGTTATTTACAAAATTGCCACCGCTTCACTTTTAAGATCGGTTATCTTGTAACCGATCTTAAAACTCCGATTTTAAATCCAATTTTTGCACTAGTGATTCCATAAATAAATATAATTAAACATATCAGTTAATCTCATGCTGTAATATAATTCCGAACCTATCCTATCCAATCACCACATCACGATATAAATATGCACCATGAACACACTCACACCGATGCTCATGCACCACAACCTCCTAAGGAGCATTGACTCAAAGTGTTGCACATTGGACGAACCTTATCAATCCCCTCAAGCACCACCTCGCACTTGCCCACTGTTATACACCATACAAGTTAGTGGATATATAAGTATAACATGCATTCCATGTTATACACCACACATGTCAAGGTAATGTACTGCCCTGTTAATCACCACATAGGCCAAGGCGGTTAAACCTATATATTATACATTCTCTGTTATACACCACATAGGCCAGGATAATGTATATGCGTTTATCGATGGTCATACCATTCTACCACACCCATTCTCATTCTCATCCATGCAAATGCATTGCACACAAACATTTTCATACATAATAATACATTACACACAAATCTTCTCATACATCACTCATTCAATTACCAATCATTCACACTCAATCACATTTATATATCACTCATCCAAATATAAATCATTCATACTCAAATATATTTAGCTAAATACACACCATTTATATCTATTCATACAATATAATACCATATTTCACAATCCCACATCTACTCATTCAATCATATCACAAGTATTATAAAGCATCACTAAAAAAATCATAAGTATCACAAACATGCCAAAAAGGGGTCCTGATGGAGGGCCACCCTTGGAGCTTCATGTTGGACCCATTACTAGGTCCATGGCTAGGAGAATGGAGGAAGATGAAGGAGATACCATGCCTAGAGCCATACTCATCATGAGTGTGGAGTATTGATCCATCTCCTAGGTCCATTTTGAGTAGTATAGGATTTTATTGCTTTATTTCCTTTTTTACCCTTGTATTTTGGGGTACTTTAGATAATAGGAATTTATTATGTATTTTCATTCACTACAAGAAAAAGTTAAATTTCCCACAGATAATTTCCCACAGATAATTTCCCACAGACAAAAATCCGTCGGAAATTTCCCACGGATTTAGATCCGTGGGAAATTTTCGACGAAATTTTTGACGGATTTTTAAATGATGGAATTTTCGACGGATTTAAATCCGTCTGAAATTTCTGACGGAATTTCCGACGGATTTAAATCCGTCTGAAAATTTTGACGAAATTTCCCACGGATTTAAATCCGTCTGAAATTTCTGATAGAATTTTCCACGGATTTAAATCCGTCTGAAATTTCTGACGGAGTTT